GGAATCAAAGTAATTTATAGTTATCAGAAAAATAACTTATCTTGTTAGGTAATTTAAATAGTTCATTGACCATCTGAAAAATGCCCAGAGCTTTTCTTTACATACAGTGCAAGAATAAATTTTAATTTGATCCCTATCCAGATGATCACAAATACTAAATCACTGTAGCTCAAGAAATGAGTTTTTACCACACATACACATAATACTTTACAAACTAAAATCTCTAAGAGATTTATGATTTTCTCAAATATTCTAAAGAAAAAAAAAGACAAATGAGTTATTCTCTTTATTTTAGAGCCAGAAATTGTATCGATTGATTTGTTCATAATCAGGAGGTGACGTAGAAGCAGAAATGGTCACAGAGACTTTACTTTCAGACCACAATTCCATCATTCAAGCCACCTTGTCTAAAAAGCTGAATGTAAATTCTTTAATTACCTGTTGTATTGTTTTTAGAGAGAGGATTTGGTTTCTTTTAGTAAACAAATTACCTTCTGCAAAGCGTTGTCAATTTTTATGAGAACTCAAAATTTCACATCTATTATTTAAAATTTTAGAAACCTTAGTTCATGATGACATGTAACATTCAAAAAAATTAAATCAAATTTATAAGAAAATACACAAAACTTTGTTGAGAGAAAACTGTTATCTTAGAAATATTAATAATACATTATTCAGTGACAAATTTCATCAGCTGTGCAATCTTTTATACACCCTCAGTTTCTAGACATACGAGTTCCTTAGCAGCACAAATTTTATTTATCATTTATCGTGATAATTTGACAATGGAGTGCTAAATTGAAATGCCACCTAAACATCCTAATGACATAAGGACTGCCACAGTGCAACTTCTCCTCTCAAAGACAGTAAGAGACCTGGCCCTTGGGGAAAGCATCTCTATCCCGTTCAACTGAGACTCTGAAACTGAGGGAGGGCACTGGGGGTTAGACTTGGGAACCTGGCAACCAGAGAGCCCAGAAAGATCTCACCACACAAAGACTTTGCCTATTGCCTTCATGCTACCCTTTGTGCAGGGCACCTCCACATTTCTGGATTGACGATCATCCTATGTACTAAGTCTTCACAAAAGATCTCACGTAAAGGCAAGCTCTGAGGAGCAGTCTCCCCTTTTCTATCTTAAGTCACCATATAATGCGCACTTTTCAGGAGAAAGCAGTTATTGTTATTAAATGTGTTACTGCTGTTCTTGCTCATAAGAATTCCTTGAACTACAAAATACATTGATTCTTCTTTAAAAATAATACCTAATTTGCATCAACAGGGCATGTGATTTGAAAAAGAAAAAAATGCAATCAGGAAAATGAAGTTTCAAAATGTTATTTTGAATCCAAGATTACAAATAAAAAGGATCTATTACATAACTAGCATAAGTTACTGATAAAATTAAACCAAAGGAAAAAACTAGTTGATTTTGCAACAGTGTATAAATCTAAGTTTTTAAATTAGTACTAAAAAAAGGCAATTCAACCAAATAGTGTTATTTTATAACCCCCAAATTAAAAAAATATTGCTTTCTACAAATTTCAACTTCTCAAAATGAACTATTTGTTCTCATGAAACATGCAAATAATTTCCAAGAAGACATTTATAGAGAAATGATTACAATGCTCAAGAGACTACTGTTAAAAGTATAATCAAGCATTAGAGCTCTTACACATGCAACTGATACCTTCATTTTTAACCATTTCTAAAAGCAATCCCCAAGAACACTGACTAGCTAACCCTATTAGGTTAACTTGCTACCAAATGCAACTAAAGGAATATAACTACATTTTTTAAAAAATCCCCTGTTCTGTTACTTCGGAACATTCTTCAGTTAAGCTTTTCCTTCAATCTACTTAAATCAGAGACTACACAGATTTTTCTCTTTTTTATACAAGCATTTAATTTTTATGAAAGTACTGTTCCCAGAGCTGCCGACCTGTACAGCTGAGCAGTGGCATGGGTGCTAAATAGGTGTCCAGGAAAGACCTCTGTTTGGTGGAAGCGAGGTCCAAGGGGGATAACTCCCTTCCTCTTCCCTTCTCTCTTTAATGGGAATGGGGCGACTACACACAGCACCTCCGCCTCATGTTTCACGCAGGTGCACTGTGACCCTTTCGCATTTCACAGGGGAAGGAGCATGGCCTCCGTAGGGTAGGGCTCAGGACACCTGTGTCCAGCCCCAGCTGGCTGACTTATTTACTCTTTATGGCAGTAGGAAAGCCATGAACAACCCTGGATTTCCTGTTTGTAGATTAGAATAAAAATTGTTTTCACAACAGGAATGTTGTGGGGTATAAAATGCCATAAGAGTTTTTGAAAAAGTCTGTGAAAAAGCATGGGACTATTCCTATTACAATGGGCTATCATAACAGGGGATGATAATAGTCTCATTTTTTTTTCCAATTCATTTTTTTCTACAGTGCACTTAGAGATTATTGTTAAGTGTGTTCTTTCTGAGTGCGTTTGAAAGTTTTGTGGGTCTGAGTGTTTTGTTCTATCAGTTTCTGGGGTCAAATATTGAAAAATAATTGAAAAGGGTAGGAAAAAAAAGAAAGAAAGAAAGAAAGAGAGCCCGTAATGGAAGACTTCAGTTAAAAACAACCCAAGAACACTTGTCTATAATACTGCATGCAAAATTTGACTGAAATGAGAAAACTAGGACTAGAAAGGTTCATCACCTGTCTCTTGCTCCATTGTTTTCAGATGGAACTAACCTCTTGCCTTTCTCTAAAGTACTGAGTACCTCCTTTGTGCCAGCAGGCACAGTACTAGGGTCTGAGGACATAACAGTGAACAAGTCAGTAAGGCCCCTGCCTGCAAGGGGCTGAGGAGGAAATAGATAGGATAAACAGATAATGGCGCATGTAGTTAAATTAATTACAGTTATGATAAGGGAAAGGTAATAAAACCTTTAAAATTTCAGAGACCCAGAACTCTTTCCTAGCAATTTCCTGAGAACTGGATTTCATAACCTCTGCTCATTCTTATGATTAAAAACTTCCAAAGTTAAGAACTGCTTACTTTTTATTTAATAGCATTATGCTTTTTAATCTCATGTTATTTTTCAAGGATGATAAAGGGAGATGGTCCTCTTTTCTAGTTGTAAGGGTTCTCCAAATATTGGCAATAGCTTCCAAATAATATTAGTGTCTATGCTTACAACAGAATGTATAACATTAATACAGCCTCAGCCTTTTTGCTTTGAATCCATATAAAAAAATGCTGAACTTTTACAGATATAAATGGCCTATGTTTTTTCTACAAAGCATTTAGCAATAGTTCTGATAAAATCAAGTCATTTTCAATATCCCAGTTAAACTTATCAAATAGAAGCCCTAAGAAAAAGAGAGCTATTAATTAATATGAAAACATCACACCACCAACAGCAAAGAAACAACAAAATGAAAAGGCAATCTATGAAATAGGAGGAAGTATTTGCAAACCATATATCTAACAAAGGGCTTATATCTGAAATATAAAAAGAACTCCCATAACTCAACTGCAAAAAAACAAATAACCCAATTTAAAAATGGGCAAAGGAACTGAATAGACATTTCTTAAAAGAAGACATACAAATGGCCAACAGGTACATGAAAAGGTGCTCAACATCACTAATCCTCAGGGAAATGCAAATCAAAACAATGAGATATCATCTCACACCTGTTAGGATGGCTATTATTTAAAAAAAAAAAAACCATCTGTGCTGGCCTAGTTAGCTCAGTTGGTTAGAACATGGTGTTGATAGGGCCGGCCCGGTGGCGCATTGGATAGTGCGCCGCTTGGGAAGCGCGGCGGCGCTCCCGTCCGAGGGTTCGGATCCCACATACAGACCGGCTCCCGCTCACTGGCTGAGCGAGGTGCGGGAGCAACACCGAGGCTTGCGATCCCGTTGCCGGTCCCCGGTCCGGTACGGGGGCAACACTGAGGGTTGCGATCCGTTGCCGGACACGGAAAAAAGACAAAAGACAAAAAAACAAACAAAAGAACATGGTGTTGATAGGGCCGGCCCGGTGGCGCATTGGATAGTGCACCGCTTGGGAAGCGCGGCGGCGCTCAGGTCAAGGGTTCAGAGCGCCATAGCGGCCAGCTGTTAAAAAGGAAAAAAAAAAAAAAAAAAAGACATCAAGTGTTGAAGAAGATGTGGAGAAAGGGAACCCCTGTATACCGTTGGTGGGAAAGTAAAGTGGTACGGTCACTATGGAAACCAGTATAGAGATTCCTGAAAAACATAAAAAAACAGAACTACCATAGGATTCAGCAATCACTGCAACATTATTCACAATTACCAAAACATGATAGCAACCTAAAAGGCCATAAATGGATGAGTGGATAAAGAAAATGTGGTATATACATACAACGGAATATTATTCAGCCTTAGAAAAGGAAATTCTGTGATTTGTGACCTGAATGAACCCAGAAACACTATGCTCAAGTAAAATAAGCCAGATACAGAGGGACAAATACTACATGATACCACTTATATGAGGAATCTAAAATAGTTCAGACTCAGAAGCAGAGAGTAGAAGAGTGATTGCCAGGACATGGGCAGAAGGGAAAACAGGGAGGTATTAGTCACAGGGTACAAAGTACAGTTATGCAAGATAAATAACTCCTAGAGACCTACTGTACAGGAGAGTGCCTGTAGTAAGCAATACTGTGCTGTACACTTGAAAAATTGTACCTCATAAACATGTACAATGAAAAAAATAATTTCACACACACACACACACAAATTCCTAAGAGAACAGATCTTATGTTTAGTGTTTTTATCACAAAATAATAAATAAAGAGAGTGGGAGGAAACTTTGGGAGGTGATAAGTTTTTGGCATAGATTGCAGTGATGGTTTCACGGGTGTATACTTATCTCAACTTATCTGGTTGTATACATTAAATATGTACACATTTTTGTATGTCAATCATATTTCAATAAAATGGATTAAAACATAAAACCACATTAGAAATAATGGCACGTGCATGCAGAAACATTGATTACCTGTTTCCTTTTCTGCTGTGCCTAAAACGTAAGAAAAGAGAATTTAGGGGAAAAGCACACTACCCACACATTGCTCAACTAATGTAGAAGGTTAATCAAGCAAAGAAAAGCAGCCCCCTTCCTATTTATAATTTAAATTTGATTTTGTTGTTGGTCTGGTCCTGAGAATAACAAAAAACAAAAGCTCTTTTCTTTTAAGATTAAAAAGGGGGAGGGGAGTGGAAGATAATAAAAAAGCATACAAGTCTTTCTCACCTAATGAGCAAGCATTTTGGTTTTTTACAAAACTGCTTGGCAGGTCTGCCTGAGTGGATTGCTAGGATCCTTTTTCTAGAATATTCTCATACTAGACTGGAAATAAGACAGGGGTGACTCCAGAAAGAGAAAAGTTTGGGGGGGGGGTGTTTCCTGCTCACTGTCCATTTGGTTCCATCACTTTTTTCTAATAAAGACTTGTTTTTATGAGTACAAATAAAAGATAGCTCTTTACCCATTTTAAAATAGACTTTTTGACTATAAAATACAGAGATAGAGAAATATACAGTATATTTTCTCAGTATTCTTGGACAAAGTAAGGGTCAAAAATATTAGCTAAAACAGATAGTTAAGAACAAAAGGATTCTTAAGTTTTTTCGGATAGGGTTTGTAACATTTTTCTGTTTATTCAAGTTGTCCACAAACTTTTTTTTCACTTTGCCAAATCTGAAAGGCTTTAATATATCTATTTTTATATCAATTCTTTCAATCTGTGTTTAAAACATCCAATTCTCCCAAAACATGAAAATTACTTGAATGAATATTCAAAAATGAAAACCAATGTGTTAATCTTCCACTTTCCCTAATGATCTAATGTTCATTGCTTTTGCTTTAACACAACATGATATCATAATTAATGATGTTAAACTGGTAACTAAGGAGGTTTCATGTTGTTACTCTCGTGATATAATACTGGTTGCTATAGTGATGAGATGGCTTTTTTGTTAATCACTCAGGAGGTTGGTTATCACATGCTTGTTAGAAAGCTTGACTAGATGTGAAGAGAAAAAAGGAAGGATAACAGCCACCACTTATAATCAATTGCATTTTCCATTGGCTGAATTTTGGTAAAACTATCCTAATGTCAACTAATTTATAAGTTTATAATTCATTAAGTACAATTTTATATTAAAAGTACTAAATTTTTTTCTAAAGGATGACTTACTTTTTATTTTCAGATATAAGTATTTAACATTAACTGTATACTTTTTCCCTCTCTCAATTAATGTTAAATGAATTCCATAAGCCTGTTTTATTATAACTTGAAAAAGAATTTGAGAACTTTTGTTACATTTAATTATATCAATCAAAAAGGATTGTTGAATAAAAGCTGATTTTGTGACTTTGCCACAAATTCTAATCAACTTAATTCTTAACATTTTAAATATCAGTATCCTTAATGAATAAAACCCAAAGAAAGAGAAAAAAAAATGCACAGTTCTCTCAAGAGATCTAATCTTTCAAATGCACCAATATATTGCAAGCAATTAAAAGCTGCAGGAAGTTCTATTAGTTTAATTCAGCCCTCACAATAATCAACAAGTTTCTTCCTTCTCTGAGTGACACTGCAGAACAGAAAATAAAATTACGTAGTATGCCACTGTTACTGATCAGGAAAGAATCCACTGCCCATAGTTTAAATGTTAGACATACTTACAGTAATGTCAAAAATACAACCCATGAAAACACCTTTTGGTTTCTTGAAAACTCAAAATAAGAACAAAGGACAACTTAAGCACGAATCCTGGGTCTTTCATTCAAGCAGAGTCCCAGGAGGCATATTAAAGCAATGAATAGGAAAGAGCTCTTCAGTTCACCAGCTGAGATTTTAATGAGACATTTCCCTTTGCCACGGTACAGGATTGTTCAGGAAAGGAAAGGACTTCTTGCAGAAAATTCAGTTAATAGGCATTGTTGGCTCTCACTGCCACTTCGGCAATTGCTCACTGCACTAACCTTCTATTTTGGCATATTCTGTGAGTCTAGTGTAATTGATCAAGGCAGCTTTCTCCAGACATTTTCTGACCACTTTCTTCACCTCTTCTGCTGGTATGGGAGTGGCAATATCTTTCATTAAAACCTACCGAGAGAGAAGGGTGGGGAGGGAGAGAGAGAGAAACAGGCGGAGAGAAAGAAGATAGATGTCGCATAAAATATAAAAAATAAATTACACATATTGTCCTAGACCTCTTACTAGGAAGGGGTAAGGGGCCTAGGTGACATGGGGGAGGTAATGAGTCGGCACTTCACAACTGGGAAGGTAATCCTCCAATCTTGGCTCCTCCCCTCTAAGCCTCATTTACGCACATCAAAACCTCCCGTAGGCCAGGCCACCATTCAGTGTGACTGTCACTTTTCCTCCAGGGACCCAGGACTCCATTAGAGCAGCTGTTTCAGAGCAGGATTACAGTTCTTGGGACAAGTAATAAACCAAGTTTGTTTTGCACATCCCTAATTTAAAAGCCTTAAATCTTTTGAAAACAATAACAAAAATTCCATGAAGAATAAGTATAATTTTTGAGTTCTAAAATAATCAAGACCTCTCCTCTCACTAATTAAACTTTAATGAATGTGATCTACCAGAAATACCATGGCAGACTACAAAAAGAAGACAGAAAAAACTTCTTTGTCTTAGTGAAATGAATATCAAATGTTAAAATGGAAACTTTCTGCAGTTTTGAAAAAATAACTGATTATTCTCTGTTGGGTTCCTGAATATGTTTCCAGATTTTTCCTTAAAAAGTTTTACTACTGGCAAAGGAAAAATACACTTATATCCAGAATTCAAAATGTAAAATATTTAAACACTTTTATAGTGACTTATTGATAATATTCTTTAAAACTGCCTTACTGATAAAACTGCTCACAATAAGTTTTCATTATACCATTAGTCAAACTCTGTTTTTCCATATATTTAATGCAATTTTTCTTGCTTTGCTGACATTCAAATTATAAAATATATGGCAGAATGTTAATACAGAGGAAACCACTCTATTCTATTAGTCATTTATCTTGAAAGAAATATTGAAAGAACATGAAAATATACATTTCATGCTTTATTATTTATTCTCTTTTCAGTCAGCCATAGCACCAAGGATTTTATAATTTCTAGTTTTTTCAATCATCTAAGCATCAGTGACCCTTGACAACTATTTTAGAATTTTGTTAGGCAAGATTTCCTTTTTTGAAAACAGGAACTTCATCACTTATAAAATGTCTCCTCTATCAAATTTAGTTATTCTTCATATTATTCTGACATATATTTGGCACTTTAATTAGAACTTCTCTTTGTAGCCAGAAAAATACTTTTGCTCTTAGTAAAAAAAAAAAAAAAAAGCATTAAACACGCAATATTATTTTATATGTAATTATTACTAAAATCTAACTTTAAGATTAATTTTGTACCATATGCAGAACAATGAACTTTGCTATTAGGCTTCCCGTGGTGATAAAATTTAAATAACAAAAATAGCTGTTAAAATTAGAATGTACGTATCTGACACAGAGGAAAGTCCAGGGTTTAAATCAGGCAATATTTCATTGTATATAGGAGGTGGGTATTGAATTTGGGGTGGGAGGAATTGAATACTCTTTCCTGGCAAATGCAAAAAGGCAGATGCCAATCTCCGTGTCATGCGTCCTCCCATCTTCCTCTGTTATCATAGATATCAAGATTTCACATGTAGATTTTGTTTTATTTTTCTAAGTTGTCAGTAAGTAAAGAGACATAAAAATGAAAAAATGACCCTTAACATTTCTCTCTCAATTCAGCAAGAGATGTGATTAGTGATTATAACTGTTCATCCTGTCACCTGTCAACGCAGGGCATGAGGGCATCTCTGCTATTACTAACTCTTCCCTGCTGTGGGGAGGAAAGGGTTCTGCCATGGAAACCAGGTCACAGAGAGGCTGCCCTAAGTCCCCATAATGGAACGCAACTCCAAAAAGTAAAGTGATCTGTAAGGATTTTATTTAACACATGATACCTTCATGAACAGTAAGAATTAATAAGGAAAGAAATACTTTGAAAAGCCTGGGTTACATGCAGCTTTTAAAATTATAAAAATTCTAAATAAACATAATTACTATAATGATAGTTCTATCAGACAATGCACAGTAATCAGGGATAAGACAAGGATATATAGATAAAATCAATCTATAATCCAAAGATCTTATTTTAATCATCCATTCCAGCCCTCATCTCCCAAGTTCTTAAATCTCTGAGAGATGTAATGTCTAAACAATGTCTTCCCTTTTTGCTTTTAATAGAGATGCTAATAAACAATATAATATTTAAAATTAATTTGGTAGAAAAATGGACAAGAACAGTCCTTGGAGTCAATAAACCAGGACCAAGATAATCAAATTCAAATCATGCACTATAGATCATGCCTTGAAATTTTTTTTAATTCTGATAAGTAATAGGAGTTGACCACATTACTTAACCCTCAGCATTCAACTAGCATATGAATAGATTTATAGACAGATAAAAAAGATACTTACCCTTTCAAACCTCAATGATTTTTTAACATGGACTTAAAATCTTGTTTGCTAGTTAATTCTGGGGGAAAATTAGTTTCTACAACTTGTGAATTCATTTAAAGTAACAATGAATAATTGAAATAAATTCTGAGATAAATTTTCAATGAAAGAAATAATATTTTTGTGAATATTAAATGATAAACTCTTACAGGCATGTGGACTATGACAGGTAGAAGTACAAATAAAGTTAAGGGGATAATAAAAGACACCCGTGAAGTCCGAAAAGCAGAAATAATTATACGTAATTGAGAAAACAAAAGAAGACTATTTAACGAGGAGAAAAAAAAGGTGGGAAAAATGAATACTACCAAAAAGATGCCATAATATCAGAATAGGATGGCAGTGGTAGGCTTTGGAAAGCCTTCCTGGAGGAAAAAGCGTGTATAGGGAGAATGTGAACATAGTAAGAAGAGGTGAGCAATTCATGAACTGGGATGGACTCCATAAAGAGTACAGACTCCTGAGAAATGGGACTGTCTGCCTAGTTCAATACGTAAAATACACAGCAGTTGAGAATGCAAATAGAATTCCTAATGTTTGAACATACCCTTTCAAGTAATGAAAGTGTAGCTTTCAGAGCACCTTCAGGTCGTCCAAAGGGAAAACAATACCTTTAAAAACAAAAGAAAGAAAAAAGTCAAACATTTTATACCCAAAACTGCTAAATAATTCCTGCTTATACTTGGCATTAGTGAAGAACAACGTGAAGAGGTTAAAATAGCATCAACTCATCCAGGAAAATTTTAACTGCTGAAGTTTACCTAGCCCTATGATTTCAATGCCTCAAACAACAAAGGTGTAAACAGTGAAGAAAAAGATTCTAAAGTTTTGATGATACACATACTAACAGAATACAGTAAACAAACAAAAAAACCCTCCAAAGCCATGAATTAAGAGTTAATTCAGATGAATTCCCTAATAATTTCTTTAAGGTTTGTTGTTATTCAAGCTCTAGAAGAAAATGAAGTGATTTCCCCGATTTCCTCCTATAGTTCTGCGTGGTTTGTGATGAAGGCAAACGACACAGACACAACAACTTCCAGGACAAACAAGGTTCCAGCTCTCCCCGTTGCTGACATTCGTGTCTATGATGGTGTCTAATTCTTGAACACACAGAAACCCTCTGCAATTCTTTTGTCAACAGGGTCATTTGTCCCAAGTATTTCTAGTCCCATACATTCCTACTACACACCGAACAGAGAAGGGCAGGTTCTGGGGTTGTTCTGAAATCAGGGTCAGATGAGGCTGGGAGAGTCAGTGGCTTCCTTAAAGTCAGTTACCACATGGCGCTAACAGGTTTATTGCTCTTTATGAGGGGGACGCTCTTCAGGTCAATTTACATTTCAGGAGTACTGAACCTCAAGGCCATCTCATCTTGCTGGAGCTCCTTGCTGTGTGGAACCAAACTCAGCAAAGCACCCCTTCCAGGACTGCAGCTCTCACCTTAAGAGCAAGTGCTACAGCCTGTCCTTAGGCTGCCACCTTGCTCTAAGAAGTCTGCAAACGAATAACTCGGAAGGAAGATTTCTTGTTTCTATGTACTTTTCCATTACTCAGGGACTGAGTGGACATATTTTCCTAGATACAATAATAATGAAATAATTTTTTTCACACTGTAATTTGAATGGGTTTTCCTAAAAAGCACGTTTGAAGTCTAATTTATTTTATAGGACCAAATTTTAAAGAAAGAAAAAAGACTGATCTTTTCCCTTTTATAAAAGCAGTGGTTGAATTTATATAAAGATTAGTTTTTAGTTTTGTGAAACCTTTATTAGTCTCAGAAAAATGTAAACAAATGTAATATAAATCTAGTCACTCAAATTTTTCTTCAGAGTACCATATTTATCATTTTATTTACTGTTAAAATTTCCTTCCTTAATCTTGCCTCTTGTGTATCCTATTACCCACCCCCCAACACACACAAAGCCACGACTAATTTATTTTGATGGAGTTTTTCCTGTGCAGTGGTGCTTTTTAGAGCATTACTAAATTAGCAAAGTAGGTTTAATCATTTCGTATACTATAAACCTTAATCCACATTTAAATAAAACACAAATTGAGTTCTTGTAGTCCCCTCCCCCTGCTTAATCTTTTCAGTGTATTTGCATAATCCACCCATTGTCTTTCCTATTGTTTATTTCCATTAGCCTTTGGGTGACACATTTTATGAATGGAATGTTACTGATCCCCAGATTACATTTAGCATTTCAGGTCTCCGAGGTCCCACTGGGTATGTTCTGAATTAGCATTAGCTGCCCATGATGTGTAAATAATTCAGCACATTTACAGAGTACAAGTAATCCTGAATCAATAAAGTACAGAAAATAACTACACAGAAGCTTAATCTTTACAAAACAAGTTTTAAAAGAAGGGAATCGTTCTGTTCTGCCTTTCAGGACAAATATTTTGGGTTTTTATCATTCTGACAGCTTTGTAACAGCAAAGCAAAGTGGAAAACACTCAATTATCAAATAAAATTCAACCACATTTAATACCTAAGCCGAACAAATTGAAGTCATCCTTATTTCCACTTCAGTAAATTAATTACACAGATAAATAAGCCTGCATAGATCAGTCCTATGATTAAGCCCTTTCTTTTCCTTATACATTTTTAAATACAGTATTTATTTTTATTGAAGTTATATGTACAGATAGTCTAAAGAGGAAACTTCTTCTAAAAGGCTTTGTATGAAAAAATGCAAGTCCTTCATATCAGTTACACCCCACTCCAAGTAATTTCTGCTCTGTGGAAAAAAAAAAAAAAGTCAGCTTTTAGCTGACTCTTTTGGTATTTAAACTTCATATCCCTAAATTGCAGACTAATATTTTCACTTCTCGATTTTTCACTTTTAGTTATCCTACTAGCTTCCCACTATGGAAGATAAGCACTTACCTTTCATTTTTTTAAAAGAGCTTTATTTAGAGGTGTAAGTGACATACAGTGAACTGCACATATGTAAAAGTACACAATTTGATTAAGATTTGACATACGTATATTCTTGTGAAACCACCACCACAATCAAGGTAATTCATGACCCCTGAATGCTTCCTCCCCACCCCAAGCAACCACTAATTTACTTTCTATCATTTGGATTAGTTTGTATGCATGGAATTTTATGTATGAGAAAATATACAGTATATACTTTTTGGGTCTGATTTCTCTCACTAGGCATAGTTATTTTGACATTTATCCATGCTGTTATGTGTATCAACAGTTCACTTTTTATTTTTTATTGTATTCTATGCAACAGAATACTACAATGTATTGCACAGAATACATAGTTTATCCATTTCCTGTTGATGGTCACCTGGCTTATTTTCATATTTCAGTTATTATGAATAATGCTGGTATGAACATTCATACAAAAATCTTTGTGCAGATATATGCTTTCATTTCTCTTGGAAAAATATCTAGGAGTGGAGTGGCTAGGTAATATGATAGGCAGGCAGGAACAGAACAGGTACATGCTCTAGGGAGGCTGCTCATAAATATTCAGACTGCATGGGCCAGCACCTGCAGGTGGAACAGGAAGGGCAGAGGATGGGGCCATTTAGGCATTTAGGAGTTTCCATGTGGTACAGAGAGGAAGGAGAAGGTTGGAGGCGTATAAACCTCTCTCTGGCAGAGGTGCCTGGGTACTTCCTTAACGTGTGCCTGTGCTTGGTAATAAAGCCCTATAATGTCTTGTTTCTCTGTCCCTGTTCCTTCCCTTTAGCTGGTCCTGTGAAAAGATTTTTCTTTTCATGGATAGACCAAGAACCTGTATCTGCATCCAGTAACAATAGGTGTTTACATTTTTAAGAACTTGCCAAACTGTTTTCCAAAGGGGATTGTACCATTTTACATTACTATCAACAACATATGAGAGTTCTTGTTTCTCCACATCCATGCCAACACCTATGTTCAGTTTTTTGTTTTGAATTTTAGCTATACTAATAAGTATGTAGTGGTACCTACTTGTAATTTTAAATTACATTTCCCTACTGAGTTATGATGTTTAGGTCTTTTCATGTGCCTTTTTATCATGATATATCTTTGGTGCAATATCCATTAGAATAGTTTTTATAATTGGGTTGATTCATTTCTTATAATTAAGTTTTAGAAGTCTTTTGTGAGAAAGATATGTATTGTGTAAGTATTTTCTCCCATCCTATGACTTATTTATTTCCTTAATAATGTCTTTGGAAGATCAAAAGTTCTTAATTTTGAAGAGGTTCAAGGTAACAATTTTTTCATTTATGACTCACAATTTTGGTGTTTTATTTAGGAATCGTTGTTTATCTCAAGGACACAGATTTTCTTGTGTGTTTTCTAGCTCTATCCATTTTCAGTCAACATTCGTATCAGGTATGAGGTATGGATCAAGGTGAAGAGTTTGTATTTGAATATATAATAGTTCCAGCACCTATTGTTGGAAATAAGTTCACTTTGCAAATTGCCTTTGCACATGCATTGAACATCAATAGACCAAATATGTGTTTGAGTCTATTTCTGTACTCTCAGTAGCACACTATCTTGATTATTGTAGCTTGATAAGTCTTGAAATAAGGTAGTGTCAAAATTCCTCTGTTGTACTTTCTAAAAGTTATTTTGGCTATGGTAAATTCTTTGTATTTACATATAACTTTTAGAATCAGGTTGTTAATTTCTACAAGATCCTACTGGGATTTTGATTGGGATAGCATTATATCTATAGGTCAATTTAGGGAGAATGTACATCTTAACAATACTGAGTCTTCTGACCCATAAATACCTCTCCATTCATTTAGGTTTTCTTTAATTTTTCTCAGCAATACTTTTTACTCTTCTGTGAACATGTTTTGCAGATCTTCCATCAAACTGATCACTAAGTATTTTATAATTTTTGTTGCTATTGTAAGTGATAGTTTTTAAATTTCAATTTCTGATTGTTTGTTGCTAGTACATGGAAATAAATTGATATTTATATACTTATCTAGGATCCTGCAACTTTTAAAAAATCACTATTAAAGAAGTTTTTTTAGATTCCATACAATTTACTACACAGATGATCATGTAAACTGTAAATAATGACAGTTTCACTTCTTCCTTTCCAGTCTGGATGCCATCAATTCATTTTTTCCTGTCTTAATGTACTGGCTAGAACATACAGTCCACTTTTGAACAGAAGTAGTGAGAGCAAACATCCCTGCCTTGTTTCTGATCTTACACTGATCTTACATTGTAGGAAAACGTTCAGTCTTTTTTTTTTTTTTTTTTTCCTTTTTTCGTGTCCGGCAACGGATCACAACCCTCAGTGTCACACCCGTACCGGACCGGGACCGGCAATGGGATCACAACCCTCGGTGTCACGCCCACACCTCGCCCAGCCAGTGAGCGGGAACTGGTCTGTATGTGGGATCCGAACCCTCGGCGGGAGCGCCACCACGCTCCCAAGCGGCGGCGCACTGTAGCAGTGCGCCACCGGGCCGGCCCGAGTCTTGATTATTAAGTATAACATTAGCTGTAGGTTTTCCATACATTCCCTTAACAGGTTAAACATATGACATACAATAGTAACAATCCTTCTAATATTCTTGTTTACTAATTCTATATTCTGTGTCATTTCTCTACTTTGATTTGCTGTTTTTTTAATCCTCTTCATTGATCACATTTTACCATTTTTTTTATATGCCTGTAAATTTTTGACTGAATGCTAGACATTACGAATTTTACCTTGTTGATGGCTGGATATTTTAATACTCCTTTAAATACCATTATGTTCAGAAATGCAATTAAATTACTTGGAAACAGTTTGATCTATTTGAGTCTCAATTTTAATATTAGGAGACACCAAGGCAGTGTTTATTTCAGGGCTAATTTTTTCCCACTGCTGAGTCAAACCCAGTAATCACTCTGTGATGCCCATGCATTAGAAGGTTTTCCATTCTGGCCAACTGAAACTGGAATTACTCTTGGCTTTGTACTGGCATTGGTTATTTTCTCCTGTATTTCTGTCATGTGGTTCTTTGCCAGACTTTATAGTTTCCTCATGTACATGCAATGATCCATACTCTGGGGACCTTTTGCAAAAATCTGTTGCTCTCTCCTTTCTCTCTCTTTTTCAGAAGTCTGACCTGAAAGCTCTAGCTGCCATGGCCTCCTCCCTGGACTCCCAGCTCTGCCTCCTCAAGTCAGGGAGTATACTGGGCTCCACCAGGTACCTCTTTCCTGGTCCATGTCTTAGAAACACTTTCCTGGCAATAAGCTGGGGCAACTAAAGGTCTTACTTCATTTGTTTTCCATATTGCAGGAATCACTGTCATTCACTGCCTTACATTAAATGCCTTGAAAGCCATTTTTTCCCCACATATTTTTGTTGTATATTTTGTTTCAGGTGGAAGGGTAAATATAATCTTTTTACTGCATCTTGAATATAAGTAGTTCTTTCTTTTTATGACCAGTTTTCCCCACCGCAAACATAATTCCTGTCCCTTCCATCTTTCTAATATAGTTACATCTTTTTTAGGGGGTTAAATCTAAATTCAGTATTCATAGTATATTAATTATGCAGATATCCTAGACAACAGAGAGTATTTGCTACAATTACTTCTAGCTTCATTCAATATTTTGTTTATAATTAATACTTGTGTATATTTTTAATTTCCTATTTTTATATACTTAATATAATTCCAAACTCTATTAATTGCAATTAATAGTCTAATTAATACAACTCCAAACTCTATTCTGGGTGGTAAATCTCTCAATATGTTAAAATGTCTCAGTGTTTTGTCAATTTAATCCACTTGAAGAGTTTTCTGACTAGCTCCAGTCAGAACTGGTCACTCTCTAAGATCAACTATCACTTTGAGTGTCTCTATTTACCATCATTATTATGATTCCCTTCTCTCTCATGTTGATTTCTTGTTTTGGGGATCTTACCTGTTCCTCTTTTTTTGTTTCCTCCTCTGTTTTGGTAAATTTTACCAAAGGGAATATTGTAAGCCCATTTTTTGAGTGCAGATCTGAAAATATTATTATTCTATTATCACTTTCAATATAAACTTTTACCTAAATTCATATACAATAGTTATTAGTAATACTACTTTTTCCTTTTTAGCCTGAGTTCATAAGAAATTTATGTTCTTTCTAAATTTTAACATAAGTGGCGAAGAGAGATAATTTGGTAGAATCCTTATAAGAGTTCTAATGAACAATTTTAAATGTATTATTTTTCTAAATTTGCCTGTATGGTCATCTTAAATTTCTTCTATTTCATTTTAATCCCATTTCCTCCTATCCAGTCTTCTACAGACTCAGGAAAGATAAACTAGTAAAATTTACACAAACTCTACAAACATCTAATGGGAATATAAAAGCCAGCCCCAAATGTCTAGACCAATGAATTTCAATTCTTGTCCTCAGTACACCAAAAAAAAAAAAATTGAAAAGGATTGTAAAGTACATCTTTAGAGAAATTATCTAAAGATGATGTGCATACAAGAGGAACAGATAAACAAAGCTCTAAAGAGAGAAGATGAAACTACTACAATAAATGATGTGGATAACTGTTAGTCCCTGTCCCCTACTGAATAGTTTGAGTGAGTGTGGGGAACAGAATTCCCCTGGAGCAATGGCTCTGATTAGTCTAACTCAGTCATGGTGAACTCATCTGAATGTCAGTCACTGATGGAGGCATTTGCTCCATGGGCTTCCTCTTGCCACTGGCTTTCGTTCAGAACAAGGCCCATGACCTATTTAGGGCAAATGAAATCTCAGGGATAGTTTGCTAGGATCTTCAAAGGAAACTTTTCATGCTTTTAAGAGAGAATGACAGAAAGAGACAGCTTCTGTTTCCTTTGAATACTGGTATGTATGGATGTAAAGCCAAGAAATTCTGTGGTCTTCTTGCTACCAGTCTAGGGATAAAGCCATCCCATGAAGGAGGAGAGCAATGTGAAAACCATAAAGAAATGGTCAGTTGCTGATATATTCAATTGAATGATGAGTTCCATCTCAACAATGGCAAAAAGGGAAAAATTACATTGATTTTCATTGAAAGACACATAATATATTTAAAGGACTGTACACAACCTAAGAGACAACACTTTCAACAACAGCAAATGAAGAAGCATGCCTCTGCAAGGGCAAAAGCCTTCCTTATGTCTCCATTTTGTTCATAAACTCAAGCAAAATTTCAGGCAGAGAATGCAGCCCTAACTCTGTAAGTTGAATTTGGCTATGTTATTTGGAACAGTCTCTCTTAATGTGAGTCTACTGCCATTTTGGGAAGAATAATTCTCCAATGTGGGATTGTCCCATGCAATGCATTTCTAAACTCAGCACAAAATGCTCCTATTCTTGGTTATTGTGACAACAAAAATCCTCCCTCATTTACTTACCCTACAGTCATGGTATTGGCCCCAGATGAAAACCAGTAATGTAGGGAAACAGATGCATAACATATCCTCTGAGAATTTCTTCCTTCAGTATTATTTTAAAATCATCGAGTCTAACTCTTTGTATCACAGATAAGAAAAGCGAGGCTCAGAATGGCCATACAGCATTCAAATGGTTACATAACAGTATTTTGGGGGGCACATTCACTGAGTTTATTATTTCATTAAGTTCACATGAAATGATTCCGAATCAAATACATACCGCAGACGTGCTATGAGACATAATACACTGACATGTTCACATTTTATAAGGTCTAATAATAAGAGTAATAGAAAGAAAAAATGTACTGGCATATTTGTTGTTAACCATTAGGTTCTGTTGAGCTAACTATAATCAGGGGAAAAGAAGTATTATCAAGATATTTATCTTTTACTCTGCAAATGGTTCTTAGCATTGGTAGCTAATTTCTTTGAGCAAGGAACTGTGGTTGGTGCAATGGCCCGTGTCCTCACAGAATGTAAATAAAAAGATAACTAATGACTTAAACAATGTATGTTATAACTATGTGACATGTGAAGAGTATAAACAAGAAAGTGCTATAAGACATCAGAACTTTCTTTGCTTAAATAATTGACAAGGGCTCCACTGTAGAGGTGGGACTTGAGAGTCTCCTTGCCTGGTGATACAGAGAAGAGAAATAGTCACCAGAGCTAGGAGGAAGAGGCCATGCAAGGATGAGCAATGCAAAAGGCAAGCAGGAGGCCGAGTGGAATAGATGTTTAGGGGAATGGCTAACCTAAGAGACTAGTGGACATTGAACAGCAGGTGCTGGGAAGGAGACTGCAGACTGAAGAGTGTGAACCATACCCTGCAGACAATGCGGTGTGTGGGGGGGTGGCATTAATGATTCTTGAGTAGCAGAAAGATATGATAAACAATTTGTAAGGGAATGGAGAGTTGAGTGAAGTACAAAAACAAATACTTGTATTAATAAATAGAAAACATACCTAAAATGGCTTATCTGATTTTCTAAAAGGGAAGACAGTCTCTCTTTTATCTCCTCAAATCTCTCTTTTTCTTCCATTGAAACAGTTCCAATTCCATCAGGCCTGAAAAAAAAAAATACCAGAATCAGTAATTATGTTGATAGAGCATTTAATTTTATATATTTTATATATTTATACACATAATATTTCCCTTAAAAATCCAAATAATTACAGAAAAGGCATAGTGGGCCACAGTATTCATATCAGTTATGTTTACAGTGGAAATTCATCAGAGATATTTGTAGCCATTTGCTTCATATTTTGACCTGGAATAAATGGAATGGAATTATTCTCATTTAGACGGCCTTCAAGGTAAAGATTATAATAAATATTTTCTAGATCTACAGAAAACAATTACTAGTCCTTGAGAGTGGCACTGAAAAGTGTTTTACAGTGGTACCAAACATTTGACCAATTAAATGAATATCCTCTGATAGAAATATTATTTATAAAAAAAACTGAATGCAAGCTAAAACATCTTAACTGCTTCTCTTCCAAGTAAAAATTAAGCTATATAAAATTGGAGATTTCATTTTAATTATTGTATGAAACACAGAAAATTTGGTTACATGTAAAAGTTTACTGTTCTATTTTTGTTTGTTTAAATATGTGGGCACATGAATAAAAATAAATATTAGAAGAAATATACAGAGAACACTACCTGTGTTTCTTTTCAAGATTTTGTCTTTAAATATCCCTGTGGAATCAATGTGAGCTTTTGTTAGGAGTTAAAAAAAGCAACTATGAAGACTGAAAAGTTAAAATTTTTTACTAAGCTTAGGATTGACAATATAAAATATATCTAATAGCAGGGACTCAAAATTTATTCTGTACCAATTAAGTATCTGGTTATATACCAATCATCTAAAATTCTGAACATATAAATTCTACCAGTTTGTTAATACAGAGAAAAAAAACATATTAATCTCTTATTCATTTCAAAGCCTGTTTATTTCAAAAACAAAATGAGTTTTTTCCACTAATTAACACCAATCACTTTCTTCCCCCATTAGCTTATTTCTCTAAAGATTATATTTTAATTCCCAAAGACTTATGCTGATATTTATCATTCCAATATACTAATTTTAATGTTTTGTCTAAAATAGGTTGAAAGAAGGATTATTAATAACAAAAAAATGAATGCTTAAAACAACTTTATCAAGAAGATTTTTATTTGATACTTCCACTTTTTATGTATATATACATATGTATATGTGTGTATGTTTGATGCTTGTTAACAAGTCTATTAGAAGAAAAGCAATTAATTATAAAGTTATATCTGAATCATAGTGACATAATGACCTTTTATATTCATATCAAAGCATCATTTAAGTATGAGAACTTTATTCCAATATTGAGTAAATAATTTGTCACTTCAGAAATATACATACCGCTGGAATTCATGCTTTGAAAACATTTCTTACAATTAAATTTCATGCCTAAATAAGGAAGCATCAATTATTTAACTTCAGAATAATATATGAATCACATTTATTCCATAAAAACACATTTTGCATGTTAACTATGGAAAAAGTAATGGCACGATATTGGTCTTTCACACATTTTTAGGATGGAGAAGAAGTCTGATAAATTAATTAAAAAGCAGTGAGTTATGAGCTAATTCCAATGTCTTATGCTAATCTAATAATGGATTTTTCACAAATTACTTCAGAATCAACTCCTATTGAGTAATGTTAGCACAAAACAGACTGTAACCTAAGAATCAGCATTGACAATGACTACAAAAGCCCAACTAGGGAGTTCTATGTAAATTATTCACTGGGGAATCTGGGCATTCAGACAAAAACTATCCCTAAATTATGTTATTACATAGACAGAAATAAAAACGCATACCATAAAGTTATAGGTGGTTATGTCACTAAACACACTTATGCAAACCCAATGAAAAAGAGTAAAGAATTCATCTTTATTATTCTGATGACTGACATGATCCTTTGGCTTAGCTCTCTGGCAGATGCCATATGGTTAGCTTTGAGTGCATTTTCCTGTTTGGTTCAACTGTCAAATGAGATTGTGATGCACAGTGATGAAGTAAGTTGCCCTGTCGCGTGCCCTGGGGCACATCAACGACCTGACAGAATGGAGCCAGGGGTGCAGGTGATAAAAAGTGACAAAGGAGAAGTTCACCTGTGTCAGCCTTTGCTAAGAAACAGACTGTTATACCCAGTAAGGGACCATCTTTTTACTGAGTTTATTACTAAATGAGATACAAGTCTGACAGGTTAAATGCAACATTTAACAATTTGGACATGACTTTATTTAATTCTTATTTCTGTGTATACTAGACTATGCTGAATATGAGGTATATAGGGGTCTTCAAAAAGTTCAAGAAAAAATTTGTATTATCTTAATTCTATTTTTCCACAAACTTTTTGAAGTACCCTTGTATGCTGAGGAAAGAAATGAGTAATGTATAGAATGTAAAAATATACAAGATTATGAGAATTCGTGAATTAGTAATATGACAAATTATCAATATTGATCATGAGTATTAATAGGGTGTAAATTACTTAGAATGTTTTTATAACTAGGCAAAATAGAAAATTTTGTCAAGAGAAAACAGAAGCAGGGATTGTAGTTATGTATTCTCTGTAGAAAGATCTCTAGCAAAAGTTAGCATGTATTCACACTTAGCAGAAAATCTTTAGTGTGTAGTTGCCATTTTAATTAACAGCGAAACAATTTACTTTAAATTTCAATAACAGAATTTTTCTCCTGAGATAATAGAAGTAAAAATAATGCCTCTTTGACATTGATAAAAAGACTATATTAAAATGTAGTTATTTAAAATTCTATCATAAAAGACCAATTTTCTGATTTGAATGTTAATTGGGGTTTAACTCTATGACTGATAATTAAATATAAAAGTGGTTCTAATCAGAAGAAGGGGTATTCTCACGTATTGAGATTTAATATTTTCATTTTTTCCTGGGGCGTACAGTTATTGGAGTTACACAATTTCAATAAAAACAGAGGGCTCTGTGAAAGAAGCTTAAGATATGAACAAATTATAAAACATGGTGTAATAGTAGACACACTTCTTTTAATTACAGATAAAGTTAAACAAGTTGTGACGTGAAACTTCCTTCTGGTTTTAGGTAATAAGCAACTGAATGCCAAAGGCAGTTGTGTCTATGTTAATTATACTTCAAAGATTCTTAAAAAACAGAATTTGTACAATAGAACCTTCTGCCACTGATTCTCAATAGCCTGATCTTACATCTGCCTATGGGTCACATTCTGTTTTCAGAGAAGCCATCACATGCGTATGTGTACACACACACATGCGCACATGCACACGCACACGCACACTCTTTTTTGAAAGGTGGATTAATCCAAAATATAGTTCATGAGGTCTACACATATTAATTTCATTAAATTCCTCCATGGACTAAGGAATTTTGTAATTGGTGCTATTCATCAATCTGGTAGATTAAGGCATATTAAAACAAACAAAATCCTTTATATATATATTGAACATCTTGTCATGATTACTAATTCCTCCTTAAACACGTGCAACATAGATCTAAATTGAGAAAGATGTTTTTAAAAGACAACTCAGGAACAAGAGGGATAGACAGAGTTACTAACCCATATTCTATTATCTCTGATGGCTTCTGGGGTAGAACAGATAAGAAATTAGTCTCTATAAAGGTAAAGGACAATTACACTATAGTTCAAGAAAGAGCTAAGAGGAAAAGGATACAAAACTAAGCTGCAGAATCAGGCATTTGAGCAGAAGAGAAAATATCAATGAGGAAATCTGCTTAAATATTCAGATATGGGCCAAACTGGTAGTGTCGCTTCCCTTGTTTGAACAGTTGGTGGTTCACACATCTTACAGTTCCTTTTTCCAGTAAAATAAAAATAATTCAGAGGCCCACAATACCAATAAAACCCAATTTTGGCATGTGTAATATCCATTTCTTTTGGGAAATTTGAGTAAATAAGACTTACCGGCTGTCAGTATTTTCTGAAACATTGTAAGAAATAATGATCCTGTGAGATGCTCCAATAAAACAGGTTCAACAGCCCAAATATTTTTAACAATACAAATTATGCAATTCTCTTGGGCGATCATAGTGAAACCACAGCATATAAAGGAGTCTGAGAAGCCCGATAGTAAAGAAATGTTTAACTTTGTTAAAACAATGCTTTCCAAAATTATTTAGTCATGGGATCTCCCCACAATTTCTACTTAAAAATCATCATTTAGTGTTGATGTGAGCATTCTATTACTTAATGAAAACTATCATATCTTCTACAGGTATTTGCTCAATCATTTTTATCAGTTGGAAAACTTGCACATACTTGAGGGTTAAATGTGCACTAGGAGTTTGCATATTGCCTGGTACAGAGTGCTCAGGAAACTTGTTGGTTGAGTAAATATACCAGTGATTAACATGGCATCGAAAAGTTTGGTTAAATTGATGAGACAGGTTTCTTTCGAAATCTCTCTACCCCCCAACTCATCAGGCAAGTTTGTTAGTCCTGGAAGTTTGGTAATTTGTTGTAAAAGATTATTTTGCAAGCTATCAGTGGGCAAATGGCAAAGTTTGTGGTGCTTCTGAGTTTCTTGTAGGCTTTTTTCCACCTGCCCTCTCCTATGAGGAATGTATGACATCTTAGCTTCCTTTAGAGAGAGCGAGAAGGGGAGAGACACCTAGAGGGTGGTAGTTCTGAACTGTCAATTCCTCCTGCAGCACAGCAAGTAAAGTCACTTTACACTTAGTGTGTTTCCCACCAATATCCATTTGTGAACAGAATGGAAAGGAGAGGAAGTCACAGCATGAGAATAAGAGATAACGGAAGACCAATGAGGGAGAAAACAATAATTTCTCCTTTTTTGTTTCCTAACCTTTAACATCTCCTATTGTTTCAATCAAAATGATATATCATTTGGATGGTCATATAGTACATAATCAGCGTCCACTTACATCCCCCCCAAATTAAATAATCCTGAAGAAGAAATTAATTCTATCCCTATATGTTCATGGAGATGGAACAAACAGATTTCCTATGAGAAAATATTTTAGAAGACG